GAAGGAGGGCAACATACTGTTCATTCTACCGAAGATGCTAATGTACGCACTATTTATATATCTGGTGGACGTGGACCTGGAATTTCTACATCTGGGGGAGGTCACAGTCACACAATATATACAGTCAGCAACGGACATTCTATCCCGACGCCCAGCGATGGCGATGGTCATACCGTACATACCATATTAGTTCCCCAAGATGACCTTGGACATACAGCACCAGTTCCTGATGACGGTCATAGTCATACCGTACATACAGTTCCTATTCCTCATGATGGTGATGGACATACGGTATATACAGTTCCTGCTCCTCATAAGGATCATACTGACCACGATGGCCACGGACATACCGTACATACAGAGCCTGAAGAACACATTCCCATTCCTAAAGATAATCAAGGCCCCACCATCCACACTTCTGATGACGGTCAATCAAAGACCGATACAGTCCCTAATGATGATCAGGGACCTACCCTGTCTACATCTGGAAATAGTGATTCGGAAACCGACCAGGGTCCTACAATATCCATTGATATAAATTCAAATGCGGAAGCGGGTGGGGGTACGGTCATAACGGCAGATGTAGATACGAGTGTGAGTACTGACAGTGAAAGTGGGGGTAGCAGCAACGATGTTCCTGAAGATGATGGCGACAAACAAGATGTTCCTTCAGATGGTGACAACCATAAACACGACGTTCCCAAAAACGATGAAGGGGACCATCATGAACATGATGTTCACAAGGATGGTGAGGGGGAAAGTCATGAACACGACGTTCACCAAGATGGTGAGGGGGACCATCATGACCATGATGTTCACAAGGATGGTAAAGGGGACCATCATGAACATGACGTTCACAAAGCTGGTGATGGGGACCATCATGAACATAATGTTCAGAAGGATGGTGAGGGGAAAAGTCATGAACATGACGTTCACAAAGATGGTAAAGGGGACCATCATGACCATGATGTTCACAAAGATGGTAAAGGGGACCATCATGACCATGATGTTCACAAAGATGGTAAAGGGGACCATCATGACCATGATGTTCACAAAGATGGTAAAGGGGACCATCATGACCATGATGTTCACAAAGATGGTAAAGGGGACCATCATGACCATGATGTTCACAAAGATGGTAAAGGGGACCATCATGACCATGATGTTCACAAAGATGGTAAAGGGGACCATCATGACCATGATGTTCACAAAGATGGTAAAGGGGACCATCATGACCATGATGTTCACAAAGATGGTAAAGGGGACCATCATGACCATGATGTTCACAAAGATGGTAAAGGGGACCATCATGAACATGACGTCCACATTCACGAAGGGGTAGACAAGGATGCAGATGCGAATGGGAATCATAATGAAAAAGGCCATAAGGGTGATAGCGAGACTAATCATAAAGATAAAGATGGAGGGAGGCACGGTCACGACGTCCATAAACATAAGCATGGGCATGATTTCCACAAACATGGACATGATATTCATAAACATGGGCATGGCGGACATAAACATGGACATGAATATGGACACGACCACGGACATCGCGATCATGATCACGGATTTGATTTCTTTTGGCACAAACCAATGTTCGACCACATAGGTGGTCATGGGCATGAAAAATTCATTCCTGTTCACATCCACGGACCCGATTGTGATCATCACCGGTAGTCCATGAATGACTTTTAAACTTCAACTTATTGTGATTCCCTAACTTATTTATTTCCAGATGCATTACAGAAATGTGAATGAATTAAATTCTTGTAAAATATTCTGTATTAACTGTGATTGCTGACTGTTTGTCTATTATTTTGTATGTTGAGACTGAAAGAATTAATTAAAATCATTTTTCGTATATCTTGGTGTCATATTACATGTTCCATTTTATAAATAGCTTCTCCTTAGCCCTAACACATACAAACAAACACAAATAATCAAACGACAATGAATAATTTAATTGTCGTAAATTATAATTGATAAATATAATTGATACAAATGATTATAAACACATACTATTTATGAACACATTTTGCTGTTTATTAAAATTTTTAGAATTGTGTGGTATACAGGGTGGACCCGAGGTAATGGGCCAAAATTCATGGGTAAATTCCTGAAGCAAAATTATTGCGATTTAGCCGAACTTACCTTAATCCAAAAGTTGATCATTAAAGAGATACAGAGTGTTAAATGTAAAATATTATTTTAGTTTATTTATAATTGATACAAATGATTATAAACACATATTATTTATGAACACATTTTGCTGTCTATTAAAATTTTTAGAATTGTGTGGTATACAGGGTGGTCCCGAGGTAATGGGCCAAAATTCATGGGTAGATTCCCGAAGCAAAAATATTGCGATTTAACCGAACTTACCTTAATCCAAAGTTGATCGTTAAAGAGATACAGAGTGTTAAATGTAAAATATTATTTTAGTTTATTTATAATTGATACAAATGATTATAAACACATATTATTTATGAATACATTTTGCTGTTTATTAAAATTTTTAGAATTGTGTGGTATACAGGGTGGACCCGAGTTAATGGGCCAAAATTCATGGGTAAATTCCTGAAGCAAAATTATTGCGATTTAGCCGAACTTACCTTAAACCCAAATTTGATCATTAAAGAGATACAGAGTGTTAAATGTAAAATATTATTTTAGTTTATTTCCATTTATCTCTTAATAAAAGCACATATCTACACAAAATTTTGGGGTTTGGGGTTCTTTGGATAGAGGAAATGAAATTTGTTCACATTTTGGTTATAGTTCATAGAGGGCGCTAGCTGCTGTAGACTGAAGGTGTTGGAAACGACATAACTTTTTTGTACTTAAAGGTATCTCATCTTTGGTATCAAATTCTTATTTTCCAACTTTTTTTACACAAAAAAGGTAGACTTTATGAAAGTACCTGTCTCGCACCGTTTCCTAGATATTTGGCTTTGAAACTTCCAATGCTAATAGTTGAAATAATTAAAATAATTTAGAAATGTCAAAAACTAGGGTTTATTTAGAATTAAAAATTGTAATGCAAAGTAAAATAGTAAACTTTAGTAAAAAATATGTCTTTTTGACAATATTTGCTCAAAATGTTCACCTCTAACTTACATACTAACAACTAACAATACATTTATCAACACGTTTATTAAAAGATTGTCTTATTTTAAAGTATAAATCCTTAATGCGAAATGACTTTGCAGCATTTAAAACCTGCTACTGAAGTTCTTCTCAAGTGTTTATAGTTTCTCCATAAACAACTGATTTCATGTAACTCCAAAAACGAAAACCTCGGCATTCTATGCTCACATTTATGTATACGAGTATACAATTGAATTTGTAAGCTAAGATGTAATTTTAATTAGATACGAATAATACTTAATAGAAATTAGCATACAAATGACAGCAATAAGAGAAGTGGAAGACGTGAATTATTTGATTTTCGTCCAAATCCTACTTAAGAAACTTTATCGCTAAATTAATAATACCTGTAGGTACTTAATTGTAATTTAATGCAACAGCGTTGGAAGCTTCAAAGCCAAATATCTCGAAAACGGTGCGAGATAGCTACTCTAATAAAGTATACCTTTTTTATGTAAAAAAAGTTAAAAAATAAGAATTTGTTACCAAAGATGAGATACCTTAAAGTACAAAAAAGTTATGTCTTTATGAACCCCTCTATGAACTTTAACCAAAATGTGAACAGATTTCAATTCCTCTACTCAAAGAACTCCAATCCCCAAAATTTTGAGAGGATATTTGCATTTGTTAAGGAATAAATTAAAAAAAAAAACTGAAATAATATTTTACATTTAACACCCTGTATCTTTTTAACTATCAACTTTTGGACTAAGGTAAGTTCGGCTAAATCGCAATATTTTTACTTAGGGAATCTACCCATGAATTTTGGTCCATTACCTCGGGACCACCCTGTATATACAACCACTAAATTTATTCTCAGGCAAAAACAACCAACTGAAGCGAACTAATACATTTTTTTACTACATCATTGCCTATGAAAACGGTCAGGTATACTGGGCTGAATGAAACCCATGTAGTTTGTTCTGATACCATGAATAAATTAACCATTGAAGAGGATTTCACAGTAATGACATTGAGTTGATAAATTTGTTGCAGGAAATTGAATATTGGATTGCAAAGTGACGAAGCAGTAAATTTAATGTGAAATATGTGTACCTATGTAGTAGCAAGACCTTGGCAATGGAAAATGAAATATGCCAATATATTACCGCCTAATTAGGAAATGTTACTTAATTTTTTACTACTTAACTGTAGTTAATTGCCTTAAATGAATTGATATTAGACTCATTAATAGTATTTAATAAATTCATTATACACTTGTATTAGAAATTATTTGCTAATAGATTTAGGTATCTTGTCCTCTACTGTAAATGTCATTAACAAAATTAGAAAAAATACCTAAAAAATTGTGCAATATTAATTTTCGTGAGGTAATAGAGAACCTATAAAATATATATTCACTCCATACAAAAAAAGTGAAGCAAAAGCACTCTTATTTTCAACTAATTCAATTTTAAATTTTCTGGAACCAGGAATCGTTTATGAAATTAGTGTTTCCTACAAACTAGCTTATATCCGTTAATATTATTAAATGAAACGAAAAAAACCTTACCTATAACCAGATTCCTATTGTAGTAAGTAAAACTGAATAGTAGACTACTAAGTAAGTTTAGTAGAATTGGCTTAATTCCACGGAATATTGGAACACCCTGTATGCGTATGATATTAATTCCTGTACATGCCACACATCTCAATTTGTCAGTATTTTTAGGTAGCTATAAATGAGTTTCATTTAAAATTAGTAAACGAGTAGAAAAACACATATGTACATGTACAATATTCCCGACCAACATTGCTACATTTCTGGTAGACATATCAAGGCTGAGGAAACAATTCCTCTCTGAAAGCGATATTGCAGCCAGCGTTAACCTCGCCATTCTTCACCCATCGCGATGTATTTCCTTCTACTACATTGGCATCAATATAAAAGAAGGCCGAAGATGTCTAATCATCAGTTATACCGAAGCAGCACAGACCTCTTGAAAATGTTCAGATTGGTGGTGTTGTTCACCGTAGTTGCCCTAGCCCTGGGCAAACCTGGTTTCCTCCACGGAGGTTTGGGGTATTCAGCAATCGCTGCTCCCGTAGTAGCTGCTCCTATCGCAGTGCCCGCCGCTGTTAGCCACTCTTACAGGTAACTAAAACAGTTGGAAGACTGTTTAGTTTTAATTATTCGACGATTCGTAAAATCACAATAAAAAATTAATACGTGCAGTTTCCATTGTTTTGCGCAATTTTATACAGTATGTGTTTAGTATATATGTAGCATTATTTTGAATTTATTGTTTTCCTTGTTTATTTGAGGAACTATTCGAAATCTTTTCTACTTACTCCTACTTCACTCGGTATAAAATCAGTCTTAAAATGTATTCAGTATAAATGTATTCAGTTTAAATGTATTCGGTATAAATGTATTCAGTAAAAAATCGGTTAAAATTTTGATTTCTGCTATGAATTTATTTCAATTGAAAAAGTCTTTCACCTCAAATATATTAAGGTACAGGGTCCGTTCCTGTAAATTGTTATGATAATTATACACTCAAAAAAAATGTTTTCTAAGGGCTCTTTCAGAAATATAAAACTATATTTATAGAAACTTTATTTATATATTTCACTAAATCAGATATAAACAGAAGACTTAAAAACCTTTAAAAACTAGTTTTTATAATGTTACGGAATGCTCAAGGGGATAAGGTTCATCCATTTTTTACATATTCTCGGTTACATACAAATTAAAATAGAATTCCGAGAAGTTTCTAGCTCAAACCGTTTTAGAAAATGTTATTTTGTTCCACATTTATGTTATATCTTCATAGGCGTTGACTTTTGTATATAGGTTAGTTGACTTAATTCCCTACCTTTAGGGACACTCTGTATAATCAAATTTCCAATGCAACGTTTCGTTTTTCTTTTAGCAACCATCATCAATTTACTTTTCTTAAATAATTTAGACAGACCGACATTTTCATTATATTTCTTATTACTTCTAAAGTTTCTGTAACTTATAACAGACTTAAATGGTATATATTTATTTATTTACTTACTTTTTGCAGGGCGGATATAATCAGCAAACCCATAGTAGCAGTTCCTTTAGTTCACAAGACAATCGTAGCTGCCCCTGTCGCTTACGCTGCCTCGCCTGTCGTTGCTTATTCTGGACATCCGTGGTAATATTAAGATTTCGGAAACTGTTATGTGGATAATTAATAAAAATAAAAAAACTGTTCGTACGAATGTGCCTTATTAAAATTACCGTCTGAAATATATATTAAAAAACAGTGTTAAAAAAATTAAAAACTACAAAACATTTTTTACATTACAAATAGATGAGTCTTCGAAACGTTAACGACTTGGCATGTATCACAGTGCTAATAAATAATTGTGTAAGATATTCGTGGTTAGACAAAATGGACCCCTTCACTGTTCCTTTTGGAACTATTTATCAAAGGAATATCAATGCATAATTTATAGGTTAACAAGGTTCATGGTGGTCTACCAACAAATTATGGTTTTAGTGCTAACACAAAGGAATTTAAAAAATTTGCTTCTGTCTAAACTATTAGCACAAATTCACCACACTTTACATTACACTTAAATTTTAATAACTAATACATAGTATTTACCTAATTAAAATAAGTTCCACCGTATTTCGTGACATAATTAATAATCTTTGGCATATCAGTACGTCTTTGTTTTTATGATGTTGTTGAATTTAATAATTATTATTATGAATGTGTAGTAAGTTCGAGTGTTTATTACATTAAGCAATTGCATTACTATTTTCGTGCACGTGGGAAACATATAAAACTACTACTAGCTTCTAGTTTTATCTCTGGAAAAGTAATGAACATTTACTTATTGTACATTGTACATATGTGTATATTAATTATTTGTAGTATGCTTTAAAATATGAAAGCATATTTGAATTTTCTTAAACTACTCTTTTCTATCTACTCGTGCTTACTTAAAAATGGACGTTCCATTGATGTTAACACCTTACAGTTTCTGATAAATTTTATTGAATTACCTACGAATTGACCTAAATGTTAACTAACAAAAAGTATTTATTTGTTGTTAACACTCTGTAATTTAAAAGATTCCAAAATTTCATATTTATTTATTGAAATGTATTCTAACTTTAAAGTATAAGTTGACGCAATATGTACTCGTATTAAGTATTAACCATTATTGTTCCTTTTTAAGATGGCATTGGTGCTAAAGAAATTATATAAAGGATATTTTTTCCTGTTTGATGAATTATCAGGTGAGTTATTTAGATGTTTATGTGCGAAATAAAGAAGCAACTTTAGATAATCTGGTCGTTAATAATTACAGAGCCACACACATTTTTTTCATACACTTTTTAACAGAATATGATACACCTTCAATTATGACCCGCTGAAGATGATGACGTTGAAAAAACAGGCATGTGCACTTTAATTTTAAAATATCCCCATAACATATATTTCTTAATTTTTATTAACTTTTTTCTCCTCCTGTTTCAGATCCAAGAGCAAGGGAATATGTCTTAGGGTCATCCCCAATTGTGCCAATAATTTTTATAGCAAGTTATTTATACTTTATATATGTGGCGGGTCCTAAATTCATGGCGAACAGAAAACCATTTCGACTGAAATCCGTTCTTATAATTTATAATTTATCTCAAGTCATTGCAAATTTAATCTTACTATATGTGGTAAGTGATGGTAATACAACCAGACTACAAGCCTACCGAAAATGTTCAAGGGGTCGTTTGACTCAGCATGAATTACTGAAAAATCAATACTACCACATATAACAATAACTTTAGAAACTATGCCGTCAATTCTTGTTGGTACAGGTGAGTACACAGGTAAGCTAAACCTGTCCAAATTAATTTTCCTATAGTAAGCACATGTTTCATGAAAAATGTACGGCATGGCCAAAAATGTCATTACGTACAAATAGAGGGTTGCACCTTGTATTCCCAACCCCTGTATCAGCAAGTACAGCGTCACCAAAATCCGGGCCAAAATTTTCAGAAAATCAAAAATGTTCCTGGCTTTCGGTATTGCTACTTTTGTACGGCATTAGGTCGAGGTTCATTGGTTTTTTTGTACAACCTATATACTTTAGAATTGCCGACCCCCCCCCCCCCCCCCCCCCNAGAAATGCCGTACAAAAATGTTTTGCCGAAAACCATCCCCCCCTTGGTGGACAGGTTTAGCTTACTTGTGTACTCACCTTTACCAACAAGAATTGACGACGGCATAGTTTCTAAAGTTATTGTTATATGTGGTAGTATTGTTTTATAAGTAATTCATGCTGGGTCAAACGACCCCTTGAAAATTTCCGAAGGGCTTGTAGTCTAAACTCCTTAAAAACACTCAGCGGCATCAATAAAATAATAATTATGGTTGTTACTTAATAGACACTTTTGGAGTCTTATTCTTCACCCGAATTCTAACTATAAGATACAATAATTTTGATATTAGTATCTGCCACCGTGTGTGTTAATCGACCTATTATTTATAACATTAATATTTTTAAAACATTTTTAGGCTATGCAAGATGTGTTCCGAATGAACTTACGATGTAATCTCGTAGACTATTCCCAGTCACCCGAAGCGAAACGAGTTTTGGGGTTGGCCCATAACTTTCATCTTCTAAAAATATTCGACTTAACAGATACGGTAAGTTTGATGTACAGGATGTGTCCTCCGTCTGATATTCTTCTTTATCCCGGTTATCATTAGTTCTAGAAAAATATGTTTAACATGTGTTCTCAATCAGCTGCCCGATACTCAAATTCCCTATTTTAAATGGAACATCCTGTATTGTACTATAGCATGCGATGTCTATTTACGAGGGTAAGGCAAATATAAACGAAACGGCACATCCGATGGTAACCTTGATCTTGAGCTGAAGGTCAAAGTTCAAGGTTATGTCAAGGTCAAGTCGGTTTTTTTTAAATGTCGACCCTCCTTTTCAACCGCCGGAACTGGAAAGAGCAAAATTCTGTATCCGAATGTGACAGTGACCTCAAGGTCAAAGGTCAAGGTCAGTTCAAGGTCAAATGTTGATTTTTACTGTAATCTTTTATTTTTAACTACGGAATGAGAGAAAGTGACACTCTTTGAGTAGATACCCGATGGTACTCCTTTTGTTATATTGTTATTTTTTAGTTGTCTCTCAAAAAAGAAGTTATCTTAAGCAATAATATAGTCTGATTTGATACTTTACTCTCTAAAAATTTCCATAATGAATCACATAACTTTTCACTTTTTATAGGTTTTCATGGTCCTCAAGAAAAATACAAGACAGATTACTTTCCTTCACGTTTACCATCACTGTGGTATGATATTAGCTACTTTTATAACATTGAAATTCTTCCCAGGAGGTGAAATAGTGTGGACAGGTGTTTTTAATGTTATTGTTCACTCGATCATGTACCTTTACTATCTACTAGCATCCATAGACAGTCAATGGAAGAAAAACTTGTTATTCAAGAAGTTTCTTACGCAGATACAGCTGGTAAGCTCTCTTCGCGTCGAGCATAACTCAAACAGTACCTATTCTTTGTTTGTGGCTTCAAAATTTAATATAAAAATTGTTTATTCCAATTTATAAGAAAATATTCAGAATAACAGAAGTGAATTAGGGAAACCCTTACAGTTTGCGAAAAAACAGTCTTATGCAATTTTTTCTCCGACCGACCATTATTGGCGGCTAGTGATAAAAATTAAATTGGTCATATTTTGATAATGATTCGGATCCTTTATTGCAAGACAAAAAAAGTTACGCCTCAAACAAATAATTAGGGACTTATTCTAGATTTATGAAAACCTAATTGCATTTTTTCCCTCAGATACAATTCGTAGCAAACATAGTAATGTACGGAAGACTGTTTTTTATAAGTTGTCCTTTCCCAAGTATAGCATCATACTTGTACGTTCCTCAAAATATTTTTATGTTGGCTCTATTTGGGGATTTCTACATAAAAACTTACATACTCAGCAACTCTGGAAGAAAAGAAGTAACAGTTAACTAAAGAAGTACTTTAAATCTATATAACCTAATTGTATACAATTTAGTAACTGCTTATTTTAATGCATGTGTGTATGTGTACTAATTTGAAGAATGTAATGAAATTTATGTTCTTGTTTATCCCACAAAAAGTTTTTTTTAAATAAATATTTTGACTTTCTTTTCTTTATGTCTTAGAAAATATTCTTCTACTTGAAACGAAATATCTTTTAGAATTCTTAAGAATTTTTTTAAAATAATTTGTCTTTCTCTAAAAGTCTTGAGTAGTAGTTTTCTACAATAATTTAAAAGTTATGAGATATATTAATTGTATTATTTATTTATTTATTTATTTTCCAAAGTGGCAATGAGATTTAATTTTTTTTTTATATCAAACTTAGTACATGAAAACGAACTGGTTTTGTGAAATTACGTCATTAAGGATGTGAATTATTTATTTACTTTAAATATTCTTTTTTCAGTAATAATATAACAAGAGAGAATAAATTGAAAATAATTTGACAGATTTTTTGAAAACTTGTTGCCAGGCAATAGTCACGAGAGCCCGCAGGGCTCGAGTGGCTATTTCCAAATGGCAACAAGTTTGAACAAAATCTGTCAAATTATTTTCTAATTTATGGAACTCGCGAGTTATTTTTGACTAGATTATTTTTTGATTTTCACAAATTTTCACAATAAAAAAGATCAATAAAACTATCATAAAACTATTGAAAAATTTAATTTAATTAATTATTACAATATACGAAAATATCGTTGACACATTGTGAATATATTAAAAGAATTAACAATTTAAATTAGTACAATGAAAAACGCAATTATTAAAAATATTTCGAGAGCCATTATTTATTGAGGATTTGGAATTGCTTGTTATATTAAGTGTTTCCTCCTGCGTATTTTCTCTAAGATTATTTATTATATTTGAATGATATTCTTGGTTCAATTGTAAGTATGGTTTAATCGAACTTGCAGAATTATGACCAGTGACCTTGATTAGTTCTTGTTCTCCTACACCAGCTTTTGAAAGGTTACTTACTGCACTTGATCTGGCAGAATGGTTAGTTATTTTTTTAGTAACTGTGTCTAGACCTACTTTTTCTGCGGATTCTTTCATCCATTTTGAAATGGAATTTATTCCCACAGGAACGTTTTTATACCAAGAACCATGAGTTTGCCAAGCCGGATTTGGAGTAAGAAACAAGCGTTCGGTTTTAATATTTTCTTCACGTTTACCCATTAGTTTTTCAAAAAGACGAACAGGGCAAATATCTGGGTTATTTATGTTTGGAGTCAACCATTTACTATTAGCGCCCCTTTGTCCATCCTGTGCAGTTTTTGTAAAGATGGGATTGTATTCAATGCGGCCAGTATTTAATCTTATTATGTCGGTTTCTTTTTTAAAATAATGAACTAGACACAAGGTGTATCTTCGTCCCAATAGTTAAAAATTTGCAACAATTCTGTATTAGAAAGTGCCACAGAACTTTGTTTGTGCTTTTCAGGATATTTTTGTAAAATTTTTCTTTTTGCATCTCTTGTATTTCAAGCATTTTTGAATTCTATATCATGGAAAGGATCAAAGGACCTGTTATACTTATTAAAGTAAAGTTCTTGAACTAATTTTGCCGTTTTATTCCACATTGTCTTTATTACTGCTTCTTTATAATCATTTCCGTCTTTTCTTTTCATGTTATAAGCCCAATTTTTCAAAATCAATGCCAGAGTAGCTGTTGTAGTAGATTGATCCAGAATATAATTTCTTTCTTTGGTCAAGGTCTTAAATTGTCTCCATATAGACTGATTACTTATTAGAGTATTTTTCGAAGTAGTTTCTACAATCTTTTTTGTTATTTCTGCATCAGAAAAGGTACTAAACCGATGATTTTCACCCATTTTATATATCGCGTTGACACAATTAGGTAATTATTTTGACAACTATCTGACACTTGCTACGCAAATAAAAGCCACAGTGATTATTGCCGAGAATAATCACAAGAGATTTATTCCCACTATAATAATGACATAATTGGTTGAAACTTACCCTTGTGACAAATAAAGAAGCATTTCATTGGTTTTAAGAAACGTCAAAAAATAATCAATATAATTACGATATAGTAATAAAACAAAAAGAAAAATGTACGCTAATTTTACCTAATAAAGAAGTGAAGAAATCTTGTTTACCACCTCCTCCGTCAACGCATAACGAGCTCGTTCAATAATTAAAAATTCATGCACATTTACAGATGCTAATTTTTATTATTTATAAGCTCTTATAATTATTTAAAAAAGGAATGATATTGTAAAGGACAGTCGGATTTTGCACGTGATTCTTTTATTAAATATAAGAACAGAATTTTAAAACTCAAAGATATACAAGTATTTAAAGAATATAGAAAGTTTTTTGTTACACACCTCCTTTCTAGACTAGGTAAGAAATGTACTCAGGTACTACTATGGCAAATATATTTATTATGTGTATTATGTATATATCGAAGTGTATTTTTGTGTTCATACCTTAATCTTCTATTTTCAATAGAAATAAATCTTCAAATTTAATTGATTGTCTTCATAAAAAATATCCTTAAATGTATCATCTATCATATTCACTGTAGTACTTCAATGATTGTACTAAATACAACACTATTAGTTAGTGATTAAAGTTTTTGTGTGGTGACTACAATTTTTTAAGCAGATTGCTGTTGTAAATAATTATGTATAATGGTTTCCAAATGGAAAGATTATTATACACCAACCATTTTGACATTACATCAAGAGCAGTCAACCCGGTGAAATGACAATGGATTTATTGTAATAAATGTAAATTACACAGTATAAATAAGTTGAAAAAAATTGTTTTGCATTTTGTTTGTTCAAAATGGCTTTGGTGTTGAAAAGGATGTATACAGGATATTTCTGGCTATTTGATGAAATAGCAGGTAAGTTTGTTACAATTAATAAATTATAAAGTCAGACGGTAAGTTAGAAAATTTGTAGCTTTAACTTAAACGTTCGAATATTTTTAGATACAAAATAAACTTCCTTTATAAACTTTTTATCTTTTAATTTGAGCTTAATTACTTATGTTTTTTTTTCTCTTTTTCACAAAATTACATTCCATGTTCGACACTGGTATAGGTAGAGTGGAACAGATTTAGTAATTTTTCTCCCATTTTTTTCTTGCAATACTTATATTTCACATTAAATTTGCTGATGTAATAAATCACAAAGTACTTTACAAAAACATATATTGTTGGTGCATGTCATTAGGGTTAATCATTTGCGTTATAAACGGCAAAATGGCATAACAATTATTGCTAAAAGTGTCATGATTTGTTATTTCTGACATTATTCGTCAATTGTTGTTTGTAGCTTCAAATAAATCGCATTTTTTTAGTAATTTTGACCAATCTGTACCTCGAAAACGAAACATAGGGTCTATACGGAGCATTTTAGAAAAATGTACCAGAATTGCTATATTCATTGGATGGTTGAACATTAAAAAATAAGTGGATTTTTCCCTATGGACCAATCGTCTCCTAGTTCTGAGATAGAAAGGCCAAAGATGATTCCTAAAATCAAATTGTGGCCATATCTTTCCAAGGATATGGCTAAAATTTGATTATAAAGAATTTTCTTTGACGTTTCATATCCCAAATATGAAATAAGATATATAAGCTCATAGGCTGTAGAAAAGACTTAATTTTGGATGTACTGACAGTACCTACATTTGTGGTATCCATTTCCAAAACACCCCAGATATTTACAGAAACAAGTTATTAAAGTTTGACCAAATATTTTAGTTGGTCGAATGCAATAACAATTATTCAAATTTTCTCAAACGGCATATTTTAGTAATATTACCGATATATATGTTCACCAAAAGGCGTGTGTAAATCAAATATTCCATTGTTTTGAAATTAAATTAATTTTCCATAACATGAATAATCATGCTGGGTAAAATAATACGATAATGAATATTCCGTAAAAATAGTTTACCACTCAAACAAAGCATACTACCTAATTTTTACGTATTTAAATCTGAGTTTAACTGTTGTACTTAAAAGGAAATATTTGGAAGACACCGGAAATGTATAGACAGGGTGATTTGCTAGCTCTGTTACAAATTTTGGTAATAGAAAATAAATGTAATTTCTACAATAAATAAAGATATGTACGTCACGATTACATTTTTATTCATTTTAGATACTCGAGTGCAGGATTATGGTCTCCTATCATCCCCATTGATACCTGTCGGTATTTTGACAATGTATGTTTATTTCGTACTTTCAATGGGTCCTAGGTTAATGAAGGACAAGGAACCTTTTCAACTGAAATCAATTCTGGCATTGTACAATTTTTCGCAAATTGTGTTTAATTTACTAATGCTGTTTATGGCAAGTGTGCTATTTAGTTTGAGAGAGAAATTCTATTAAAATGTCCCTTTTTCTCTGACTTTTTAGGGATGCCAAGCACTAAGTCACATGAACCTTAACTGCAATGTTATCGACTATACTCTGTCGTCAAAAGGAAAAGAGTTTATAAGGCTGACTTATTTCTATTATCTCTTAAAGTTATTCGACCTATTGGACACAGTAAGTTAGCTTATGTACTCTATCGAAAAAAAAATAGAGTAATTATATATTTTTCTAGAAGTTTTTCAGGAAATATTTATTCTGTTTAGGTGCCTGTGGCATTTCTGAAACATTTTTTTAGTGCAGATTTTATCATACCGAAAATTCAAATATTAAAAAAGTAAATAGACAAAGTAAGAGGTTGTTTTTAACAAACTACTTTGAAATATAAGAAATAAAAATGCATCACTATAAAAAAAGTAGTCTAGTAAACTTTGAGAACTTATAATATTTATTAAAATAAGACAAATATAGTTTTAATATCAATTGCAATCACTAGTACAAACTTTTTTTAGATACTCATCGTTCTGAGAAAAAATACGAGACAGGTTACTTTTCTTCATGTCTACCATCATTGTGCGGTTGCACTAGGTTCCTTTATTGCAGCAAAATTCATGCCAGGTGGTGAACTTTTTTGGACAGGATTTTTAAACGTCATAGTTCATTCGGTCATGTACTTTTATTATCTAATGTCAACTCTAGACAGCAAATGGAAGACGTACCTAACAGTGAAAAAAGTACTCACACAACTGCAGCTGGTAAGTCACCATGACTATGAAAATATTAACAAAAAATGTTTAAAACACGATAAGGATTGGTTAGTCTTCAAAACTTAACTTACATAATTTAGCTACTATTTATATACATTTTTCTTTTAGGTGCAATTTGCTGCAAATATTTTGATTTACGGAAGATTATTATTTAAGACGGACTGCCACTTTCCAAGTTTAGTACCTATATTTTATGTCCCCCAAAATATGTTTATGATTGCTCTATTTGGAGACTTTTACGTAAAAACATATATACTTAATAACCCTGAAAGAATTAAAGGCAAATAATGCTCTACTTACGATTAGTGTCTACAATTATTTATTTAGTATTAGATGTTACTTATTTAATATACCGAGTACAACTTACATGTATGTATTAGTTTAGTATTAGAATTTCAAATCATAACTGGAACTTCCGAGAAACAATATTTTATTTCATCAAGTTGCTGGGTTGCTGGTACGATTTGAAACTGGAACAAATATGCTAAATTAACTAATTTTAGCTTCTCCGGAAAGTAATGAAGATAAGTTTCTAGTAAATGCAATTTCAAGTTCATCAGACAATTGTTTGGAAATTTTCTACAATTCCTCAACTAAATCCTGGTAATCCTCACTCTTCTGATTCCCCAAGTAATTCTGAGTGACTTTCTTGAAACTTAGCCATGCTGCTCTTTCAGTATCATTCATTTTTGTGATAAACGGTAGACGTCTTCTGACGTAATTTGATTTATTTTATCTATTCCGGCGCGACGTCCGGGGACTCACTCCTGTTCATATTAATAAGTAAACATATGAGAAGTCACTGCTTTTTCTTAGGTAAGTAGGTACATCTTCCTCCAGTTGTAGGGTTATTTCTGTGCGGGGTTGCCCGTTTCCTGCGGTAAGTTTTCGAAAACTTCCAGTTTCACTAAGACGTTGATGAAGATTGGTGAATATAGTATGATGAGGAATTATACGATTAGGGTATTTCTGCTCATAGAAGTGCCTGGCGGCTAATGCATTACCATTGGCAAGGCCATAAAGAAAATGCTTATCGCACGTTTTGCTATTTGTGTAATTCATTTTGACAAGCAGGAATTGACAACTACACAGTTCAAGTATTTATTAAAATCACACACTTAAGCTATTAATTTTTTGCTCGAAAACGAAGCAAGAAATCGAAAAAAGTAAAGAGACAAAAAAGTTGTATTTTTAATCGCATAATTAGAAAAAAATATGACACCTAAGAAAAAACAGTGACGTCTCATATGTTTACTTATTAATATCAACAGGAGTGAGTCCCCGGACACCGCTGGAATAGATAAAATAAATCAAATTACGTCAGAAGACGTCTACCGTTTTTATAAACAAACGTACCAAATTTCAAAAAAATCGGAATTAGGGTTCTCCAGATATTAGTAAAAACCTTGTATTTTCTCTAAATTTCAACACCCTGTATCTCCAAAGCGAAGCATTTTCGGACATAGGTTTATAGGAACGTTCTTTCTTATTTTTGGTGAAGGAAACTCCCTCTGATTTGTTTCGCAATATTAATGGGACACCCTGTAGAGGAAAATTTCAACTAATTATCTGAAGAATTGCTGGGTGTATTAGAAAGAAATCAAATTTCATTTGTAAATATTCAATACTTCGAAAAATACAATGGAAATAGAGAAATGTAAAAAATATTTACTTTCTGTAAATTCTCATAGTAATGGACTTGCCTAGAATTTGTACCTTTTTTCAATTAGCTTGTTTGAAAAACATATTTTTTATGTTTATACTTTAGACTGCAAATTTTAATACTCAGTAAAACAACAACTTTTTCATAATTTCATTTATTTACAAATAAATAAGTGAAGTTAAAAGAGCAATTCGTCAGTCCTCTCTACCACGCTTTAACGATGGGTGCGCTGGCGGCGTAGGCAACAGCAGGAGCGTTGTAAGCAAGACCGTGAGCTGCGTAGGAGACAGCAGGAGCAGCGTAAGACACAGCGGGGGCAGCGTAAGACACGGCGGGAGCAGCGTAAGACACAGCAGGAGCAGCGTACGACAGAGCTGGTGCAGCGTAAGCGGACACGACGGGTTGGCTGACGATGTCAGTTCTGTAAGAACTGCTGACGGCAGCTGGGACAGCTACGGGAGCGGCTACTACAGATTTCTGTACTACAGGGGCGGCAGATACGACGGTCTTCTGCACTACGGGAGCGGCTACTACTGGGGCAGCTGCGGAGTAGGTGGTGATTGACGGGTTGATGATGTCAGTTCTGTAGGAAGAGCTTACGGCAGCTGGTACGGCAGCAACCACGGATTTTTGGACGACGGGGGCGGCGACGACAGCAGGGGCTGAGTATGTGGCGACTACTGGGCTGCTGACGACGTCGGTTCTGTAGGAAGAACTGACCGCTGTTGGCACTACTGAAGCGGCGACCACCGCGGGGGCGGAGTATGCTACGCCACTGGGCTTAGCCACGGCGACGGCTACGAGAGCGGACAACACCACCAACTTGTACATCTTGGAAGAGGTCTGTGTTGCGAGTCTGAGACTGACTGACGAAAACTGATAATAATTACTTTTCGGTTGTGCTTTTTATACAAATTTAAGGCTAGGTGTGGGCCGACGAATCTGTATCAGGTTCACCTTTTTGCTTTTCGACGACGACTTTAGCATGCGAATGAGATCCATTAACGAAATTGTCACGGATCCTTGACCTTGGGCTGGATATTTTGTGTGTGTTGCTCCATTTGTTTAACGATTCTCTTCGAAACGAGTTGCTGATATTTTGAATTTCCTGGTCCACGCCCGAGTCAATTACCATAAGAAAGAATGCAATCTGGTTCGATAAGTGTAAGTTATTACAAAATTCTACGGTGTAACGTTCAGTAGTCGTACTGGAAACACAACGATTCATTAAAATTATGATTACACACTCACAAGAGTGTTGTAATGAATAATTTAGTGAACATTATATTCTCATCTCTGATATATTATGCCGTTTACTATAATAAATTTATATTTAACGAGTTATAAATTGCACTTGTTAACAGTTGATTTGCTTAAATGAATTATTTAATAAGAGTTTATAATTCATATGGTACGCATTCTGCAAAGATGACTTAATAACGGCTTGAGTCACAATTTCAATAGAGCGGCATCGTAGTTAGTCATTAAATGAAGAACAGGTCCAAAAAAATTATTCGACCTCGCTATATAACAACTTTTTTTCTGATATAATGTCATAAATTTGAAAAAAATATATAATATGCACAATTTTGAAATAGAAATTACTGAAATATATAAGCCTTATCAAATTATATTCAGTTTTATTAAAAAGTAAAAAAATCCATGCTGTATATTCCAATAACAGTCATTTTCATTCGTTGCCAATTTGTCGGCAAATTACCAAAAAAATCAATGCAGCTGAACTGTCGAAACGTGGATTTTAGGGTGTAACATGTGAACATCTCTAGGTTCTTCGAAGCCAAAGCTAGAGCCGGTAAGTATAACTTTTTTTATTTCAGGATTTCTTCCTATTCAATTAAACAATAAAACAAAGCTTGTGATTTAACTATAGGTTACCCTCTTGTACGACTTAGGACGTAACAATAGCTTTCCAATAGCGCATTGGAATCATCTTTCTTTGCACAATTTTTTAGCATGAACTGCGCTAGCAGACCGTCAATGTTTCTAAGCTAAGTGTTATATAAGAGTATGTTTATTCAATGAAAATAATTCAATTCTAGTTGTTTTAGTACAATTTTCTTCTTTAATAGGGTATAGACCATCAAAAAATTGTTTTAACTTCATTCTTTTTATACATTGGTACAATTTGGTATAGAAAAGCTTTTATTTCTTCCAAAATAACAATGCGGAAGTAATCCAGAAAAATAAATGAGAATTTTTGAAACCACTCTAGTTTATCAAATAGTGATTAATTAAAATTAAATATATTTAATTAATAAAGAGTGCTAAAGTACTTCCTGGAATTTGATTATTCTTGATTATTCATTTAAATCAACTGGTCACATAAAATGGAAATTCTTATGTCTTATGTTTGAGTACAAGATAATAGTATACCACATTTTTCATAAATTAATTATTGTTGACTATATATAAGGTTATTTTATCGTTATTACCTTTTCTATTGCTACCATCTATCTTTTACCCTCAGCAGGTTCCACAGCTCACAGTGACTCCTACAAATAGCTTCCATTCCATCTACGATGGTTCTCTGTTATTATTTAGTAAAACCCTATTTACTACTATATCTGTTTTATTAAAAAGTATGTCAAATAAAAATAACAAAAAAAAGGTGATCATACATTCTGAAAAAGAAGCAAAAAGAATTGGTATATCATACAATAAATTGAATTTGTTCATTGAATCTCATTAATTCTTTTAAAAAAACGCGACTGAGTTGGAAATATTGGTATAAAATAATTTATAAATGTAATAAATAATTTAAGATGTATGATATGACAAAGATAAATTTCAAAGTAAGCTGAAGAAGCCCAGAAAAAAATAAGTATTTACTAGCGGCGTAATGTGGAAAAGAAAAAAATATATATTTCAAAAATTCAATTCAATTCTAATTCTAATTATTAACAAGCTTGTCTACGAAATTATTTACATATTTAGCATAAACTTTTAGAATTAATTTGAAGAAACTTAACATCTTTATATTAACGTAAAATTTGATTTTTACTAAATAGAATCAAAGATAATAAATTGAAAAATTCATACTTATTGTATGTATGTTTTGCACAGTCAATTATAGCTATACATATTTTCGGAATAATTTTTTAACTATATTAAGTTTGTCAAGTAAAGTTTACAGTAATTGCATCTTGAGAAGAATTAATTTGTAAAAACAGCTTCAGATGGTCAGCATACAGAAGGCAGTCACTGTCAATGAAATTAACTATGTGGTTTATAAAAATGAGACACAGTAAGGGCCCAAGACAGGAACCCTGTGGGACACCAAATGTAGTAACGTATTCCGACATAATTAGATTTTGAAATCATCTTTGATAAATTAACATTGCTTCGGTGGCATACGAAATCGAATAATGACAAATAATTCAGAAATATTCAACAAACTTTAGACTTTTCCCAACAAATACTAGCTCACTTGTACAAGACTTTGTGTTTTGAAAATATAGAAATCCTAAATGTATTATCTGGATTAACAATTAACAACATTCTTTCTTGAATTTTTAAGATATCTGAATTTGCTTGTCTTAACCTTATCCTGCATTAAGTGAAAATATGTGGCATTATGGTGGTTCCACATGTGAAATATGATCATGTAATTATTTCACTTTTTAATAAAATATCGACTTACTTTGGCATATTGGCGATATGGCCATTGATTTTAATATTTTTTAATATTCACGAAAAGTATTCCTTACTTCAATATCTTTAGGAACTTAAATTGGAATTATATTTATACACTGTACGGTTCAGGGGCCCTAAGTATAAAGAAAATAATTAAACACGTATCGCAAACATTTTTTTTTAATAATAAATAGCACGCATTTCTTTATATACAGATTTGGATTCAGTTCTATCAGTCCTCTCTTCACCAGGCCTTGATAGCTGGAGCATAGGCACCGTAGCTGATAGCGCTGACCACAGGTTTGCTCTCGATGACGTCGCTCCTGTAGGAACTGCTGACAGCGGCGGGAATGGCAACAGGGGCGGCTACAACGGCTTTTTGCACCACTGGAGCCAACACTGGAGCGGCAGCGTAAGCGGTGATTGATGGAGTGATGATATCCTTCCTGTAGGTAGAGCTGACGGCAGCTGGTACAGCTACGGGAGCGGCGACGATGGTTTTTTGGACGACGGGAGCAGCGACTACAGCAGGGGCGGCATAAGTGGCAACCAAGGGGCTGCTGTGGATGTCGGTCCTGTAGGAGGAGCTGACGGCAGATGGCACTACCGCAGCTGAAAGCACAGCAGGAGCAGAGTAAGCCAGGCCGGAGTACGCTACTCCACTGGGTTTGGCCACGACGACGGCTACGAGAGCGGACAACACCACCAACTTGTACATTTTTAAGGAGGTCTGTGTTGCGAGTTGTTAAACTGACTGACAGAAACTGATACTAGGTCGGAATTTTGACTGTCTTTTTATATAATAGCGGATACATTCAAGACATTGAAAATAGAATCATACACGTGTATGACGTAGTAATTACACGAACCGATACAATTTCTTACCGAACATTTTAGTCGATGACCTTGTCTTCGCACTACTCAAGAGCAACAGTATTCTTTTAAGTTAATTGGAATGTATCGTTGTGTGTAATACTATCGATGGTTGAATGATATTAATGGAAATTTAAATTTTGAAATTGTTGCTAAGAAAATGAAAACTAATGATACTATTTTGTAGCTTATGGAAGTAGATTAACTGAATCGTAATATATTACGATATCATTTGCAGATAATTTTATATTCTGTTTATTAAAAGTACTGCATAATAATATATATTTTGTTAAAAATAACATTATAACTATTATTTCATAAACGCTTCGCTCTTATGTTTGTTATTTCTATTTTAATTAGTTTATTTTTGAGGTTAAATATGATGACAACCCGAAAATAACGGCAGAATTTCAATTTTTTTTATTCAAAAACTTTTACAAAGACCAAAGTGAACGTTTTCAAAATAATAGAAATAAATATGAAATTATTTTTCTCTTACAGTAACAATTTGTAGGCTTAATTTGGTAATATAATATTGAGCATTATAAGTATTTTTTAAAAAAATTATTGCGTTTCTAGTTTCAAAAGTATTTCATCTTAATAAACGTACTGTAGACAATAACTTTGAATTTCAGACGAATACATTTCTGGGGAATGGATTCACTTGATGCAATACTTTTTAAATATCCAGTACAACAACAGAATGTTTAGTTAACGTTAATTTATTATTATCTTACATGAAAATCTCTAATTATTTGACGCCTTATAATTTACTACAAATATCTTAATGGTAATATTGTGTGTTATGAACAGGAATATCTGCTTGTTTTTTGCGATAAATATACAGGACGTTCTGAGCACCCTTGTCACTACATTGTTTCCTTCAGATTTTTTTAGGGATCGATATTTTTGGAAAATGATTAGTTATTTTAAAACAGCATTCGATTTGTTTTAAAACGTATTCTTGTTGCATATTGCAACAGATATTCGTGTTTATTAACCTACTTTTCCAAAATTTAAGTAAAATTACCCAAATTATAAATAAATTGGTACTAAGGTAAGTTGATTTAAATCACCTTATTTTCATCCAAGGAAGCTAACCTTAAAGCATGGCTCATTCTTTAGTAAACGCCCTGTATGTAGACTTCTAAATTATATAGTAATTGCTAAAAAGAATTAGTAAATAGTAAAAAAAAAATTTAACTAGTTAACATATATTTATTCTATGTGATACAAGATAATTACGAGGTATTCTAGCAAGGACAATGACTAAAATATATTAAGAAACTGTATCACCTCTTTAATTTACGTCATAAGAGTAAAATTTCAATGTCTCCAGTACTTTCATCATTGTATAAAAACGCATTAAAGACTGTAACAAATTATCAGTTTTTGTCAGTCAGTTTTACAACTCGCAACACAGACCTCCTTTAAAAATGTACAAGTTGGTGGTGTTGTCCGCTCTCGTAGCCGTCGCCGTGGCTAAACCCAGTGGAGTGGCATACTCCAGCCTGGCTTACTCTGCTCCTGCTGTTTTTTCAGCTGCAGTAGTGCCTTCTGCCGTCAGCTCATCCTACAGAACCGACATCCACAGCAGCCCCTTGGTTGCCACTTATGCCGCCCCTGCTGTAGTCGCTGCTCCCGTCGTCCAAAAAACCATCGTCGCCGCTCCCGTAGCTGTACCAGCTGCCGTCAGCTCTACGTACAGGAAGGACATCATAACTCCATCAATCACCGCTTACGCTGCCACACCAGTGTTGACCGCTCCAGTGGTGCAAAAAGCCGTTGTAGCCGCCCCTGTTGCCATTCCCGCCGCTGTCAGCAGTTCCTACAGGAGCGACGTCATCGAGAGCAAACCTGTGGTCAGCGCTATCAGCTACGGTGTCTATGCTCCAGCTATCAAGGCCTGGTGAAGAGAGGACTGATAGAACTGAATCCAAATCTGTATATAAAGAAATGCGTGCTATTTATTATTAAAAAGTATAAAAAATCACCTATAATTGTTTCAGTTATTTGGTATTTCCTGTAAGTTTCTGGTTTGTGCTTTCTTTATTGTGTATTTTTTCACTCAAAAACTAATGAAATTGTGCCAAAAAGGTCATCCAATATCCTGTAAATTTGGTTTTCTGTTGATTTGGTTAAATGTTTATTTAATTTTGTTAATTTCCTTCACTAATTAAATTAGTTATTTTTATACAGGGTGTCCGCAAATTTCACCGACAATGTTTGACTGTATATTCAGGACGATATATAAAACGATCTACGAAAAAAAAAGTTAAATAAAAAATATTTGGTTTTTGAGTTACATGCCTTCAAAGTTGTCAAAAATAAAACTAATTTAATTAATAACTTCAGAACCCTTTTGCCGATCGCGTTAAAATTTGACACATTTATTTGGACTATTATGGCGCAATATTGAAAAGGTCGTTTTATTAAAAAAAAAAATTGTCTCCTGAGAAAATCGCCTACAGAAAGCCATTCTTGAGAAAAATGGCATTATTTGCAGGTCTGTATGTTTCGGTTTGCGTAGCGGTGTCACAGATTTAAAACTTTGAGTTCAGTAGGTGATGAAAACAAAATATTGATTGCTGTGGCTGTCAGGTAATGTCATTATTGTAGTGTCTTTAGGAATTTTTATTTAACTTTCTTTTCGTAGATCGTATTTATTTATCGTCGTGAATATGCAGTCAAACGTTGTCGGTGAAATTTGCGAACATCCTGTATATCATAGATTGTTTAGTTATGAACAACTGCAGCATTATCTTTATCAGATTGTTCATAAAATTTTGTGATACTAAAATTTGAGAATGGAATAAAATCGAAAGTTGATTCAACTTGACCTTAATTTTTAGATGACCTTACCCTAAATTGTATTCAGCCCCCTCGCTTTTGATTGATTACTTAAAATATAGTCAACAAGTTGAAATATTGTTTTTACAGTCATATTTATCAACTTTTCAGATAACGATATTTACAAAACACAAATATGAATGACGTTTATTTGAAAGCGGTTTAATAAAACCTTTAGTTGTCGTTTTCATTACATGATGTACTTTGTAAGCAAACATAAAATCTGTCCGACGCATTCTATAACCACTTGCTAATTTTGATTCATGTCAGTTTTAAAGGTAACTGGAAAAAGGAAAGAAGAGAAAAGTTCATCTTTAAGGACCTATAGCCCTTTTAGGAGACATTTCATGGACTAAGTTTATATAAATTTTCTCTTACCTGATGTGTAGAATAGTCAAGTAAAATATTGCAGGCTAATTTCCCAATACTGTTTATAAAAAGACGCAGCCTATCTGAGATCTGATACATAAGATTGTCAAGATATTTGAAAAAACAAAACGATACATTTTGTAATTTTGACAATTGCCAACAGTTCTTTCTGAATTTTGCCATTAAATAAATTAGTTTCAGATCTATTGACTGAGATATATAAAAACCAAATTGCAACTATTTATGGATAATTATTAATAACCATAAAAACGGATTCATCTGTAATAGGTTAAACCTATTTCTATTATGTTTTGCTGATTACTTTGTGAAGTAATGGAAATTGACTCTATTATGGATTGAATATTGAATTATATAATTCTGATTGATCTAAATTAACGTTTCATTAAAATGTATATATAAATAAGAGAGTTTATTTTATTATAGATTCACTAATCACTGCATTAGATCTCTAATCTTTAAAACAAACAATTTCATGAAATAAAAAGCAGTCTTAATATTTTTAATAATGCTAGTAGATAATTGATTAACAGTTTAAATCTACAGGGTTTACAGAAGTGAATGATAATAGACCAATTTTGGTCAAGTTATCTAAAAAAAATTTGCATTCTTAAAATAACAAATATCTTTTATTTCCATTCTTTTAAGATAATAACCTCAATATTTTTTAAGGCATTTCAACGAAATTTAATACACGGGAATTTTTAGAGACTTATTTCCTTCTAGACTTCGGTATTAAATTAATTCCTAGTACTAAAGAATCTATTAGTAGAATAGGTATCTACTTACCGTAATTTTATTAATGCTTATACCATATACTTAACTAAATAAACGTGGGTTGTGATAAATAAATTGTGATTCAGGAGACAAGGTTAATTATTATTATTATTGGTTAAGAAAGTCTATTATTTTGAATTATTTGTAGCCGATAAACATTTTTAGCGTTTGGTATCTGTTTCCGTCAGTCCATTTAACTATTTATATCACGGATTTTATGATTAAAAACTTCGTAACGTGTTGCTTGCTACCGCAACCTTCGAAGAGAATGTGTTTCACTTATTCCAGAGACGTCCTTGTTTTGGTTCAGTCCTTATCTCCAAAATAAGTAAGATATACTTGTTTTACTTCAATAGATATAAAGAAAATAAATTTAGTTCTTTTGTGCCTTCATTTCTGATCAATAAAATTGTACACAAAATATAATTCAATGAAAATAAAAATAACTATTTGCAAAAACCAATGCTACAGACCCATGGATCCACAGAGTAAAATATATTTTAACATTTTTTTGAGAAAAGCTATTCTTGTGTACATAATCTCAAAAATATATCATATTTTAAATGCCATTGCGACACAATGCTTACTGAAACAAAGCTTTACTTTGTACCTCCTGGCAAAGAGCGACCTACCAATCTGTAGGTTCTATACAAGGATAACTATTGTCACACTAAGCAAAATAAGCTTTTTAACTAATAATATTGTGAGTAACAGCTACTCTGCGAGCTACATGTCCCATTCAGCATTGAATTACACCCCTAATATCTAGTAAACAACTACAAAGTTCATTCTTCAGCATTACTAGATATAGTTCGGTTTCGAACTTATTAAGTAGATCACTCTTTGTCAGTAGGTACAAGGTAATGCTTTGTGTCAGTAATGACATATAAGATACGCCATTTACTGTCTAGGTTATATCCCATCCACACTTAAAGCATGTCGATAGATAGACATCCCAATAGCCAAACAGCTGCAGTTCTCCCATTTTTCAAAATGACCATACCAAATATATCGTTGGAAAGCATAAGCTTCTAGCTCATATGGTTTACATTTAAAAAACTTGAGGTTTATGTTATAACTTGAAAACGAAAGTGCACACGAACAATTTGATCACACTGTCTTAATAACACTGCAAAATTTTTTTTGTAAAATAAATATTATTATTATTATTATTATTATTATTTTAAAAAATAGAAGTAACATTTAATAAGGTTCATAAAACTGCACATCTTTCCTCATTTACTCTTTTTTGTATCTCTGCTACTTTCCCAGATTCCTACACTAAACACCGAAAAAAACTCACACTGTACATATAGATCCCTCTATACAATGATTTTCAGTGTAAAAATAATGAATAAATCTTGTAAGACTGATATTTTCAACAAATACGAACATGAATAAATTTTCTATAAAATGCTGTTAAGCTCTATATCATCGTGTGACTTACTGTTCTCTCTTCTAAAACAAATTAAATAAAGAAAACAAATATATAAATAAATATTTTTTTGTGTTTTAATAATAAATAGCACAATTTTATATACAGATATGGTCACAGTTCAATCAGCCCTCTCTTCACCAGGCCTTGACAGCTGGAGCATAGGCACCGTAACTGATAGCGCTGACTACAGGTTTGCTCTCGATGACGTCGCTCCTGTAGGAACTGCTGACAGCGGCGGGAATGGCAACAGGGGCGGCTACAACGGTTTTGTGGACCACTGGAGCAGCCAACACTGGAGCGGCAGCGTAAGCGGTGATTGATGGAGTTATTATATCCTTCCTGTAGGTAGAGCTGACGGCAGCTGGTACAGCTACGGGAGCGGCGAGGATAGTTTTTTGGACGACGGGAGCAGCGACTATGGCAGGGGCGGCATAAGTGGCAACCAAGGGGCTGCTGTGGATGTCGGTTCTGTAGGAAGAGCTGACGGCAGATGGCACTACCGCAGCTGAAAGAACAGCAGGAGCAGAGTAAGCCAGGCCGGAGTATGCGACTCCACTGGGTTTGGCCATGATGACGGCTACGAGAGCGGACAACACCACCAACTTGTACATCTTTAAGTAGGTCTGTGTTGCGAGTTGTAAAACTGACTGAAAGAAACTGATATTTTATTACAAATTCGACTGTCTTTATATACTTAGTTGAATAAACATTCGAGACATTGAAAATTTGAGATGTGACGTAATGATTGCACGCTGTGGTACAATTCCTTAAGACGAATTTTGTCTATCGACCTTGCTAGGTCACGATCTGTCGTTCCTGAATTAGTTTTCCTTGTTATATTACGTTTGAATTAGACAGCAGACCAAGCATATTTGTAAAAGTATGTTCTATTATTTCTTTTATTAAAAACAACTGCAAATAAATTCTACACAGACGGAATTTAACAGCTACAAAGTGTATTAAGAATGAAGATTATTGCCTTCCAATGTTTCGTTTCCATTGACATGTTCCATATATACATTTTTGATACATATTGTTCACAAATTTAAAGATTATATTGGAACAGTTAATTTCCTCATCATGGGAAACAACCGAAATGCACATTTAGTAGGTATACACAAAATTTAATTGTACCTATTGTTAAATCAGTGACAATAAATTAGGCATAAATGATTACTTTAGTTTAAAATAAAATTTTATAATTAATATACTTACCACACATATAGATGTAAACTTGCTACAGTCACAGAAAATTAAAAATGCATTATATTAATTTACTTGTAAATGAAATTATAGATAAAAATAAATATAGGTACTACTTTTTTAGCAAGAAGTTACATTTTTTATTTACTTAATGTTGGCACAATATACTACTAGAACGAAATTATCGGGGATATCCAATACAGTGGAAATTCCACTAGATTATTCATTAATGTGTAACACAAAACACAGGATGTTTGACCAAATTACCAAAAATAGTTGTAAATCTGCTATGTCATACTGTAAAGAAATGTGTACTCGTACATTATGTAACTTCCATTGATTTATTTTCGGAAAATCTATAAAGTTGAAGGAGGTATAATGAAAAATTTTTAATCAAAGACGAATTAGCGTTTTAATTATTTTAAACAAGGTTTTTCGTATAAACATTTTTCAAAAACTGCGCCTTTTCCCAAAGTTAAAGAAAAATCCGCTAATTTTGTACATTTTTCCAACTACAACATAAATAAATGCAAACAAATTCGGTATGTTCCACAAACCTTGCCTTGCAGTTTAGTGTAGAACTGAAAACGTAGAAGTCAAAGTATGATAATTGGAATAAGTATACATATCTTCGTTAGAAATGCAGTTACAAGTTTTTGAACAACTAGAAAACTGAACGAAAACACCTTATAAGCAAATTAAGCAATTTTAAATTAAGATTGAGCCAAAGATTGTTATTTTAACCACATCTGAGCTGATGTGGTCAAAATAACATTCCTTTCATTGATTTAAATATACCCTGTATAAAAGGAAGCAGTATGTATTATTGTTTTATTTAAAATTAAGGAAGTGGATAATTATCACATAAGTAAAAATATATTTTGCATAACAATCCTATATTATAAAAAGTTAATACACACCTAGCACATGCTTTCTCTATATGAAAAAACAATTTTTGCCGAATAGCAACTGAGAGCGAACATATTTCCCGCACAAACTAATATCTGGATGAATATTTGTTTCGCAATTATTTTGCTGCTTTCCAAAAATATTAATATAGGCTATTGAATATATGATTTTAAAAAGAACTATAACGTTCAAGATATTTTATTACATGAATCGTTCAAATGGTCATTTTAGATGCAAAAACCGCGGAGTGCTATTAAATTAGAGGGTCGAAATTGGAGATAGGGGTGAAAATGCACCCCTTTCAACTTTTTAATTGTAGCTCGAAAACGAAGCAAAATTTTGCTATAGTTCATAGTAAAAATTATTTAAAGAATTGAATTTCCCATCGAAATAGCTTATTTAAAAAATTTAAAAGCAAAATTTTTAGCAAAAAAATCGTTAATAAACAATTTGAAAAAATGCGAAAAATTTGATTTTCTGATTTTTTTTTACTTTTTTGCCTCTAGTTTTTTTTTGAGTAAAGATAGGTATAAGCATTGCTTCATAGAAAAAAAAGTAGATAAAACTTCCTTCAAAACAAGAGATTGTAAAGTATTTTTGGATGAAAATTGACTGATATATTAGATGAAATTAGCCTATTTTTCGATTTTCGTCGCGTTTACTCTTATACGTTTTAATTCTCATTTTTTGCGAAAAAGTAAGGAAATAAGTCGTTCAAGGATTTTCATCACATTACTTGTTCGAAAGGTCATCAAAAATTAAAAAACTGCGTGGTGCTATTAAATTAGAGGGTTGAAATTGAAGATAGGGGTGAAAAAGCACTTTTGTAGTTTTTTAATATAGCACGAATAGGAAAAATTTTGTAGAGAATTGAATTTATCATCAAAATGGTTTATTTAAAAAATGTAAAAGAAAATTGTATGCAAAAAATCGTTAATAAACAATTTTAAAGAAAGCAAAAAATAAGATTTTTTGATTTGCATTTCTTTTTTAATAAAATAATTTAGTTAAAACTTGAAAATTTAAGTACAATAAAGTTTATTAATAATGAATATATCTACAGTGTGTCTAAATTATTTTATTAAAAGGGTAAAAAGAAAAATATTATATTTTTGCTTTCTTTAAAATTGTTTATTAACGATCTTTTGCAATAAAATTTTAACGTCTCAAAGAGGCACCATTTTTGGAAATTTATACAAAAAGTATTTATGTTCAAAAGCACTACCACGCACTGAAACAACCTAACTTAAATCTGACTTACCCTGTAAGGTCTAACAGAGACACTGCTTAGTTCAAATTCTACTTTTTAAGTAAAACAACATCAAAAATGACAAATATTGCTGGTTTCGTATATTAAAGTCTTGGTAAATTTGAAATTTTAATTTTTTCATGTATAAGAAAAAATAAACTAATACCATTACCACATAATTTCGTGACGAGGAATCCCCTAAAGTTAAGTAATCTGTCCGTTGATGTAAGGTCAACCCATGCGTTTCGCACAACCAGTCAAGTTCGATCGTTACTAGTAATTTTCACACACCGATGCATTTTCAGAAAATACGCCTATTATTCCCTACACATCCTGCATTAGGATCAAATATAAAAGCTCTCATCTTCCAAACTCATCACCAGTTTTCGCTCATCGGTCAAATCAACCACAGTGACTTCCAACATCATCAAAATGTTCAAAATTGTCGTTCTACAAGTCGCCGTAGCAGCGGTGGTCGCCAGCCCAATATATCCCGGTGGCATGGGTTACGGCGGAATGGGCACTTCCACGAGCACCGTCAGTGTGAGAAGAACGTCTGTCGTCAGCCCCGGCGTCTACGGAGGAGGCATGATGCCAGGAATGGGCGTGGGAACTGTGATGACCGGTGTCTACGGGACTAGGACGATGGGAATGTTAGTAGACGAGAAATCAGCACCTAAATCAAACGAAACGGTAGTTGAAGAGAATAAGGAAACCATTGGACCTAACGTGGCAGGGAGCGAAACCGTAGTCGAAAAGCAAGTTGAAACTCCTTTAGGGGACGCTGTTGAAGTGGTGAAGACTATGGAAGACCAGGCTCCTATGGGTCAATTGAGAGCTGGTGTTGTAGGACGTATAGCTGCTCCAGGAGTGGCTAGTTCAACTGTCTCAGAACAAAGAACGGAGGTCGTGAGGGCAGGCTTAGGAGGCGTTGAGAAGACGTCTGTTGGGGAAACCCGTGTATCAACACCTTTTGGATAAAGAACTTCCGTTTCTTTGGTCCAGGAAAGGACGAACGGACTTTTGTGAAATACTCTTCGAAAGTACCATTTGTTTATGTCCATATGGCATTTTTCAAATTATAAAAAATATATTTAATACAAAGTTGGTTTTATTTCAACTACATCTTCGTTAATATTACAGTTTTTCAAATCTATAGATTATTTAAAAATAGCAATAATAAAGGAGGATAATCTGAACAATTCCTGACTTTCATAGTTATTCCCAAGTTCTTTAACTTAGCCACAATCTCTTAAAATGCAAAGATCTACAAATACATTAGAATAGAATGCATTTTCGTGGTTTTTATTAAGTGTCAAGTATAAATATACTTATAATAAACAAATAATGCAGTCACTAATATGAATCTTTAGGTATTACATTGATAGAAATATATGTTGACTCATTATTTCGGAGGAACAAAATAATCATGAAAATAATGCATATAATTAATATGTACGATAATACAATACATATCTCTGACGAATTACTCTAATAGTGAAATATGTTCAATTTATTTTTTAAATTAAAAAAGTAAATTTTAAGATTTGTGCAGGTGTCATAATATAAAAAATAATTGGAACAGACAGAAATGGTTTCTCATGATTTCCGTACATATTCTCCGCATATTCCCGCCCAAACGTTGACTTTAAAGCGGTGTTGATGATCGTCTTGTCTTATTAATCTAGTATTGGCAAAGGAAGACTCGTCAGTAAATAACACTTTGAAAAAAAAGTTTCATCTTGTTGTAGCTTTATAGTTGCCCACTGACAAAACTGTACTCGCTTCTGAAAATCTTGCTGTGTTAAGAATTGGTAATGCTCAGAATGATAGGGGTGGAAGTTGTTTTTCTTTAACGTTCAATTAACCACACTTTTGGAAATACTAATTTCTAATAATACTAATAACAATGTCAATTTGACTATCCTGATTACTGCATGCGTGTGTTCTTGTTGTCTTCTCATAATTTGCATTTGTTGTTCTTTCAAACTTCTCCTTCAGTTTTACAAAACACTTTGTACGAGGATATCTTTGTAAATCTGGATTGTTAGCTTGGTAAATACGACTTGCCAATAAACAGTTATCATGAGCTTCTCCTACGGCGTACACCATATTTACTAATTCTTCTTTAGAGTAATTCATTTTACAATTATTACTGTCGCTTTTCTATTAAACCTTATGTGAATCGAAAATTTTCCATATTATATTTTCACAGGAGATTACTACGTTATTTTACATATAAGCTATTTG